GGTAGGGAGAAGTGAGGTTAAATTGTCCGTTTGAGCAAGCCGAGAAACTTTCTAGCGTATATTTCTCTCAATTGCGACACGAACGAGGCGTGATAGTTACCTGTTATATTTCACCTGTACTACCTATACACTGTATCACGATAATGCCCATGACTGCCCACAATAATCGCGGTAAAGCGATCGCGCGCACGAAATACCGTAATTTGTTTCGCACATACTCTAAGGGCTCTTACCCATGGAATGACATAGACGCGCATGCATACAAGAGCTTATGAACCAATGAGCATCGAGCATTTAGTCGCCATATTGATTTGCACAATAGCATTTAGACGTTATCTAGATGCTCATTGGCTCCATTAGCACTTTGCATATGCATCTATGTCATTTCATGTATAAGGGGCCTAATTCGTCTCGGAGAACTCGCAGCGACTCGTCGCGATTGCGCACGCATCTACGAAAGTACAGTCGCACGGAACGCGATGTGTGAATCTGTCGCGTTTGTTTGCCCCCCAACCCCATCCATACGGCTGCGTTTTCTTTCTAGAAGCCTAGCGGGAGGAACGCCGCTACGACGAAGGAGGAAGCAGTACGATCGACGAGCGTGACAGTTATATCTGTTACTTTCCACAACGCCCGTGCGCTTGTTGACGAGCATCACAGCGAAATAATCAGGCACCGCATCTGGCAGTGTGAGAGGTAATCTCCGGAGGGAATACGCGACTCGAAAATCGTCGAGCTCAACGATGAGAATACCGCTCGTACGTACAAAAAGTGAGAAACACGAGTGTTGAGACGAAGTGTATTTCCTCCTTAACCGTAAACTCGAACAGTGTAAGCAAAACATCAACGGAGTATCGGCGCGCGACCGAGTACGTGACCTTGAGAACATCAACACTGGCAGATATACGCGTCGTACGGCCGGACACGCCATTAAAGTCGTAGACGCGACGGCGAACATTCGTAAACATGGCGTGTGCGATCTCGCCGGGAAGAAGCGGAATATGTGCGGTACGAATTTCGATACACTTCCTGTGCACGATCGTCCTGCTGCCATTGTGAGCAGTGAGACGAGTATGTCGCGACGCGTAGTACGCGATTTTTATTACGCGAGAAATTAGAGTCAATGCGGGCGAATGATTTCGGAATATTACGTGGACGGCGGATGTATGTGGTATGAACATTAACTTAAAGTCGTAAGTGCGACGACGACACGCGCGCGTTTTCGCCACAAAGAAGTGGAATATGTGCGCTACGAATTGCGATATTTTCTATACACGATCGTCTTGCTGCTATCGTCGTGCAGTGAGACGAGTACGTCGCGACGCGTAATGCATGATTGTCTTTGGAAGTTAGAGTCAGTGCGAGCGATTTTCGGAATAGGACGCGAACGGAGTGAATGCGTTATTAAATTCGTAGACTCGACGGCGAACACGTCGCGACGCGTAGTGTGTGACTTTCCTGGAAATAATTGGAGTACGGCGAGACGCATTTTGATATCCCGAGTACACGATCGTCTTGCTGGCATCTTGGCATCGACCAGAGTGAACATCCTGAAGTGTGGTGAGTGGAGAGCAATTTTTTCATTTCGTATCAGAATTGAAAGAGAATATGCATTCGAAATTTCTTAATCCGTCTGAAATGATACAATCTATTCTCTTTTCATCACATAATTGCTCAAGATAGTTTTGAAAAGAAAAAAAAAAAACTATATACCTCTTATATGTACATTTATATTTCATAACATTTATATCTGTGATATATTCTTGATATATTTTTGGTATATTTCTAATGTATATTTCTGATATATATTTCTGATACACTTTTCATATTTATATTATGCTTTTCTGATTATATTTTATATATTTTTCTATTATATACATATTTCTTATTGTTATACAACAAAAATAACTACATGATTGCTCACATAATTACGATAATTAAATATCTATATGGTTTCGCAATTTTAAAACCGTGCTATTCGTCGGTCATTTTTAAGAACTCGGTTTATTTTGCCGTCAATAATGACTGGGCATTTGTAGCCCCCATTTTAAGGAAACGCATTACCGGGTCAAGACAGTATCGATACGCTTAATCGTCATAGTTAAAGGGGGTCATTTCTTCTCGTAGACGAGGGTATAGCGGAAGTCGAGTCGAAAGTCGTCTGTCGTCGATTATTCGTCATGTCAGTCCTTCCACTCTGTCGTAGCTTGTACGTTAATGTTACCTATTACTTACCGGGCGTCCTTTCTGACAGCGGCGCGTTCGATGTTCGATCTTCAGATATATTCAATTTTCGACCGTCGAGGGTTCCGGCGACACGCAGTTATAATCGATGAAGAATTTCGGTCGTCTCGAGCCACCGGACATCGTCCCAATTATTATCTCGGGTAATCTTTTTGTGCACGAAACATTAACGTAGGTAGTTTGGATACAATTATAACATTCGATCGCTTTTAGTGAATTTGATATTCGCGAGAAACATTGGTGAGAAGAAACAGATTCGCGTCCCGCCAAATCTTCTTCCCGTGCTCCCCTCTTGAAAAAAAGACGCGTGTAGATAATACATTCGATTTTCCTCGCGAGCGACATAATAAAGAGACGCATAGGGAATTATGATTATGAGGAGACGCAGCAGCAGCTTCGTGTGAACAGCGATAGTTAAAAGCGGGGTTAAATGAAGTATGATATACGTTAATCGACAGCACTCGCGATCGGCGTAACGCAAACGGCGCGACGCGGCGCAAACACACGCAACGCGTTTACGGTACGTAACGTAGGCGTGGCTCGCTTGATATCAACGATGGCCACCTTTCGACTGTAAATCAATCGATATCTCGCCAGCAGGAGGGGCTTTTCGTAGGGTTCGCGCGATGCCTGAAACGAGCCGGGGGTGGAAGCATGCGCCAAATGCTGAATACGAATCGACCCGCCCCGCGCTACTTTTACCCCTATAGAGATCGTCCCGACCATCTTCCTCGCAGCGTTCTTTGCACCGCGCGATAAAATAGCCGGAGCCGTTGAAAATAGTCACGATCTCGTTGACATTTCGCGTTTACCGTACAACGTGGGATATATACAGGGAATATAATAATGCAAGACGCAAATACGCGGAATAATCGCGCAGGAGGTAATTTATGGTGATGACAGTTGTAAATTTTAATTATTACATTAATTCTCTCAAGTTGCTATAAATTTTAATGGGGAGGGAGGGAAGTAGAGTTTATCTCGAGATCAACAGCCATTCGTCAAAACGACGTCTTCGTGTAGGAAATTAGCAAGTGTTTCACTTACGCGATCGCGCTCAGATAAATTCTGAATAGCTTGATATGCTTGCAGAGTAGAATTATATTCAGATGTAATGTGCGACTGCGTTTCATGCATCAATGATATGATTCATTTACGCAGTCAACGATCGTACGTTGTTAAAGTAACATGTTAAGGTAACACTTTAGCATTATCGAATATAATTTGCACAGAAATTTAATCCTTTCTTGTTAATTTCTTGCTGCATTGCCGATTTTGTAGCATCAGTCGCTTCGCCAAAGACAACGTTTGTTCTAGTTTAAAAATAAAGGTAGTATATTGTTACAAAAAGGTCTTTAAAAAATAATATTCTATATAGCCAATATTTATTTATTATATCTTGACATTTTCAATAATATTACCTGATGATGTATTGCATTCGATAGCATTTTATTAATCGATTTTGAACGATCAAAAGAACGATTACGTACGGCTTAGACGTCTCGAAATATCAGCTTTCCTCTGAGTTCTCTCTGAACTCTCTACGATTCCTAGAACTGAATATATATTGATGTCAGAGCTGAACGATGCTTAGAACTGGGAATGTCGAAGATATCGAACTTGCACTCGGTGGATCGCGATATCGTTGGGCGTGGTCAGTGTTGCGTGCTCGTTCAGACTGTGTGATAGCAAATCCCAGTTGTATTACGAAACGCGTAAACAGCACTTTATTGTTATACAAAAAGCTGTGTTTTATAATGTGCAAGTTTAGGAAAATTAGCTCTATTGTCTCTAAAATGAAATCTATATTATTAAGAATTTTCGACATATCAGTGACTCGTTCGTTTAGCATTAATTTATTTCACATTTCCTTATTAATATTTCCTTATTAATACATACAGCCACGTCGATGCATTTTGCACGGTTATTCGTTACTTTGACTCAAAATTAATATCTCATATCTGCATATATCTGCATATTAATTTATAACCCGGCTTTATATCCGGTGACCTATCATTTTTGTATCGATCGATCTCGACTTTCCTTCAATTTCTCTATTACGCGTTAAGTCTTCACGGTTTGAGAGAAATTTATTTATTTTGGGTCTAGATGAAAACCTTGTTGCTTGTATTTGATGACTCGCATTATTTTTTCACTGACTTACGTTTCGTTGCTAATATCTAATGGACAAAAAGCTACGTCGATACGATTTGCACGAGTTTTAATTATTTTGACTCTATAGTAAGTTTTTAGTGTTCGTATTTCGGCAGATTATATTTGATTTCCCGTATTTCCTGTATTTCCTGTATAGATTTCTTATTTTCGATTAGAATGAACAAATAATTTTGGAAATACGGCATAGAATTAACAAATATATATATATATATATATATATATAGTATTAAGATAATATTTTTATCTTCTATTACAATATTTTTTGTTCACTGTGATAACTTTTCGTCACTGTGATAATCTTTAGTTTTAATTGGATGACTGGAGAAATAAAATCACTAATATACAGTAAGAAATTTGCTACTTAAATATTCTGAATTCCTGTGCATATTGCATATTGAAATGTGCTAAAGCAGTTTTCGATTTAATAGACGATGGTATCACTTTTCATAGATGACGTGTCGGCACCCGTAATTAATTAATCAGGTTACCGATTCCGCGTATCGCTGTTGACGTCGATCAGAAATTTTACAATTGTGTGACTGTGAGGGATGGGTATGTGCTGACAAAATAAATGCTCGATGTTTCGATATATATAATGGGAATATTTAATTCGAATTTAAATAATCTTACAAGAGTTTATGATCGGTCTTTGTGTAGATCGTTTTCGCACGCACGCGCATGCTTTCGCTACGCTTCGCGTATATTGTAGGTAAATAAATAACTAAGTTACAATTTTTAAACAGTCTATCGGGACGATGTCGCCACTAAATGGTAAATTATGTACAATGTTGTTCCGCGCGGGTTACATATACAATACACCTATACATAGCTTCGTCTCTATTTTTGCTTCTCTTTCTCTCCCTTTCTCTATATGTATAATGTTCTATTGCACGTCGCAATCACTCCGGTCTTCTCTCTCACGTTATATAATATACATTTTTACAATAAATTAACGAAAAAGCTAAGTTCTCCCTCCTTTCTGCCTATTCATTACAATCTCGATTACAATCTCAATTTGTTTTTTTTTTTTTTTTTTTTCGTCACAAGAGAGAGAGAGTGAGAGAGGCGATTTTGCCTCGCTGCGTTTTCACGTAAATAATTTTGCTGGAAAAGTTGCAGAAAATGGCACTTGTTAATCTCCCTCGTGATTGAAATAACCGCAACATGCCTCCGCAGACGCCGACTCAAATGTATTTAATTTTTTTAAGTCGAATCGGATATGAAATTAAGGCATTGTAGTAGGAAAAAATTGATTTCTATTCAAGATATTGGTATTATTAATGAACAGCTGTTTATTTCTTGGACATTGTTTATTGAATACTCAATATTTTAGAAAATTTTGTTGACGGGATTGATGATTGCTTCATTTATATAAAATCTAATTTAACAGTATCGAATGTAAATGTCGCGATACGGGAACATGCACGGCAATCTTTGTCTCTTCTTTTTCCTCGTGTCCTCTTCGTCTTTCTAAGCGATGGCAAAGAACGGCGATCGTAGCTTATTCGCGTAGTCATTTCGGTAACTGACTTTCTTCTCGCGATTATTACGTCGAACAAGGGCGAGCGATTTCCGCCAAACGTCGTCCTATATCGGAAGCTCTAATTACAAAACAAGGGTTCCTTCGGTTGATCCGTTTGCCGTTCGAACGCGTCTAATAAGTTGTACTACAGTCGTACGTCTAGCGAAATAAATACTCCAGTCTTTCTTTGTAAGGAAGGTAAATGACAGATTTCTCTCGCGGACTTTGGCCCTCGCTCCGCAAATTTCTTTTTTTGTTTTCTTTTTCTTTTTCTTTTTTATTCGACTCCTGGCTAATGCGACTCGAAGTAAAATATACTGTATATTATTCATTTCGTCTCCGCTTAAATAACACCGAGGCTTACACCGCTTTGGTTGTTTGCGACTTACTCTGAAAAATCTGCGAGTCAGTGAAACAGAAAAGAGATATTTTCCAACAAGTGGTGACCGGCATACTTTTTTAGGAAAAAAAAAAAAAAAAGTTATCCGTTTCAAAAGTAAGAAAATTACTTCGCGCTTAGAGAGAGTCCGAACGAGTATTAAATATTTTTCCAACCGAAATGCAAAAGAGAGTATACTTTCGCGTTGAATTCTAGATCCTCCTCTCATTCTTGGTTTTTTTTCTCACGAAATTGTCGGTCGCGCGAAAAATCGGAGCCTCAAACGGAGGGTAACTCGATTCCCGCGTAGAACGTCTTCCGAAGAACGGGAAAGAGATACGGAATTCAGGATACGCGAAGTGACCGAGCCAAGTTTCGCGCTTTCTCACGCACGCGCTTATAATCGTCATTTCGCTTGGAGCTCCGCGGCCTGCTCCTCTTCCTCCTTCGTAAGCGGTACCGTCGAATGATTGTAGAGCCCCTGCGCCATCAGCTGAAGCGCCAGCGGATTCTTCTGACCGCTGGCCTTCTTGATTTTCGCCCTCTTGTTCTGAAACCAGATCTTGATCTGCGCCTCGTTCAGACCGAGATCCCTCGAGAGCTGCTGCCGCCGTCGCTCCGTCAGGTATCGGTTCTCCGCGAACTCCCGCTTGAGCCTCGCGAGTTGCTCGCCGCTGAACGCCGTCCGGGGACGTTTCTCCTCGGGGGTGCCACCGCCGCGTCCGTCGGCCGTTCTCTTCACTCGTCTCGTGCGCGGACCTGGAACACGGGACGGTCCTACCGTTAACTCATATCTGTCAATAGGCCTGCCGTTTCCGAGGGTTGCGTTTGAACGCAACGTCGTTGCAAATGTCGCGCCGAGATAACATTCGCGAGCGAAACTCCTCGCGACGACGATGTGTTGTTTATTATTGAGATTAAATTCTAGACGTCGTCGAAACGTTCCCGGTTTTGTCGCAAATTCTCCGAAAATTCTGCCAAAAATTCTCCGCGCCTTTCCGTGACACGTGACAGCTTTTCGGCAAAAGTTATTGGAAAAAACATCGCGTGCGGACAGTCACGTTTTTTCTCGCGCAACGTCACGACGGCGTGTCCCCTCGACCAGGCATTGATTCAGCGAGTTTACACGCCGATAAATCTGAGAAATTAACGAACCACCGGCCCGCGGTGAGTTTTACGGCAACTTTTATTGTCTGGGTTGTCTCGGGTGTTCTTTCTCTTCTCTCTTTCTCTCTCTCTCTCTCTCTCTCTCTCTCTCTCGCTCTCTTCGCGTAGGTATTCGTCTACGTCGGCTCTCTAAGTCCGGTTATGCGCGCGAGTGTCTTCTATAACAAGCCGCGTTACTTGGGAGGAGCCGGAGGTCGGAAAGTTCGTCGATGGTATAAACGTCCGACTGGAAAGGATCCAGCCGCAGGAGTAAATCCTTCCGTCTCGATTCTATCCGCTTTATCGCGCTGCGGACGCATTCGCCCGCTCGTTCGTTCGCGCGGTATCGCCGCGCGATGTGCCGGACAGAGTCGGCGAGCGCGGTAACGCCGCAACCGCTTTACCGTAAATCAAACGCATTATTATCGCCACCGCGTTGCATATCTCACGCGCATAAACGCTCAACACGCGTTTCAATCGCCGCGGTACGCGGCGCGGTTTCCGTCGTGCGCGCCTTGCGACGCCCGGGGCCGCCTTGCACCGTCATTCATGTGACGTTAATCGACTCGGTCGCAGGATCTCGATGACAAATTGCCGAAATTAATTGAGGATTGAGACGTATAGTCGCGTCGGCGACCGATTGCGGAACGGGGAACATGGTACAAGTCACGGTAAATTTAACCGGCCGTCTCACCGAGAACGGATTTCACCGAAGTCGCCGTGAAATTTATTCGAGGAGCGCGATTCGCTGGAAAGTCAGTTCTCGGGCCGCGAATTGCACCGTGCGCGTTTTATCTCACGCGTCATCAGGAAAGGAAGGAAGGAAGAAAGAAAGAAAGAAAGAAAGAAAGAAAGAAAGAAAAGAAGCGTGTCGCTTCGTCAAGGGTCGCTCCGCGAAGCGCTGTTACGTAAGACGCGATTCTAGACGCGCGGTTCGCTTTTCCCCGTTCGCGCGATCGCTCTCTTCTCTCTTTTATCTCTTTTATCTCGCTCTTTCCCGCGCGATTCGCGCACGCTAATAATTCACGAGGTAAATACCGTGCGCCGCCCCGCGCCGTTTATATATGCAGCGCCGGCGAGACTATAATTGCGTATAAATCAAATCATAACGATCAACAGCGGCGTTATCGGCCGGACCGATCTGCTGAATATTCCGTGGAAATTTCGAGACCACCTCGCGATCACCGCGCCGCTTGCGCCGTATACGCGCGTCGCTCGATCTCCTCCGTGAAAGCCAGAAATCACGTGCCGCCACGCGCGGAAAAAGCGCATAAATTGTTGACGGCTTTTTGCGCGCGGTGCGTTGACTCACGCACGCGGGGATGGTACTTTCGGCTTTACGTAAAATCACTTTGTGACATTCGATCGTGCCTCGCGCGCTGTTTCGCGAAATTCCTAGAAACTGAACGCTCTCCGGAGGATGGATGGATGGATGGATGGATGGATGAATGAATAAATAAATGAATAAATCAAAAGTAAATAAAAAATGTGAGAAATAAACGAAAGATCTATTACGAATAAGTAAAGAAAAGAAAAATAAATTGGTAAATAAAGGAAGGACAAAGTCGCACGTTGAATTATATTTTTAGGGAATCGTCTCGCTATCGCGAAGAATACCGCAAACGGTAAAACTACCTGATTGCGGCTTGTTTGCGTCTGTGAACTAGACGAACTTCGACGATCGGTCGTGAGAGAGAAAGAATGAGGGGAAAGAGAGAGAGAGAGAGATAGAGAGAGAGAGGAGAAGGATCAGAAATTATAGATTTGTCGAGTGTAGATTACATCGCGAATGATAATTATCGAACGTTACCGCGCGGTAGAGTAAATTACCGCCGACAACGAGGGTCGTCCGGCACGTATGAATTTCGCGGTGAAAACCGTTTTGCAACGTGCAATCATTCAAAGCCGAGGATCCTGCCGAGGATACGTGCGAGCTTTAAATAATATTATTGGAAAAGCAGTTTGTTCCGCGCGATCAAGCATCGACGCTCGTCGTCGAGGCTCGAGTCGTTAGTTTCCCGTTTCTGATTGGCTCCCGCGGATGTGATCGATTTCTACACACGCCGCGCGTAGTCGTGAAAATCCCCGAAGAAATTCATCTTCGTCGAGCTCGATGGCGCCTGTAAAGTGTCTTCGCCGAGACCGCGAGTGCTTACGACACCGCTATTTTTGCGTTGCGCTGTGAGAGACGTGTGCCGAGTGATACTTAAAAAGCGAAAAATATTCCACAGCATATAAATAGCAATCAAGATTCAACCGTGTTGTACCGTATCGTACCGCTATTTCACTCACTGATTTCGTCTCGTGATCAAAAAGTAATCGAAAACCGAAAGTCGAAACACTGCGAAATTTCCGTTTAGAATAAGAATTCAAGTCTCGCGACGAGAAACGGAATCTCGTCTATCAGCTACGAGACTACGAGGTGGCGCGTGAGAGAGTGAAAAAGCGAAAAATAACTTTCCCGGACGTTTCCATCGAGTAAAAATCGACAAGCTCGCAATATACGTATATCGCCGCGTTGGTTAGCTTCGTTAACGTACGCGTGTGTACCATCCTCGGCAGAGTTTTCCTCTCCTCTCGGGGGAGTGACTGAAGTAACGAACAGTCGGCAGTCTAATTACTTAAGCGGGGCGGTCGTGCAGTCAAGCGTAGGAAACGCGCACCGAGAGAGAGAGAGAGAGAGAGAGAGAGAGAGAGAGAGAGAGAGAGAGAGAGGGAGATAGGCTGTGTGAGAGAGAAAGGGAAGGAGCAGCTCCTTCAGACTCTCTTCTCATTCTCACCCTTCCCTTCACTTACGGTAATCCCTCTCCAAAGGCTCGAGGGTAAAACCAATAATGCTAAGACGCCCTCTCGTGCCAAGTACAACCCCGAAAAGTACCTCGAATACCGGCGACGTGCGGCCTCGACGGAGAAACACTAATTTCCCTCCTCGTCCTATTCCTGAGATAGACATCAGCTCGTACTTCGGTCTGCCAGTTTAATTGCATTCTATTTTTTCCCTTCTCGTTGCATTTCCGTTCTCGCGCGCGCGCGCAGCGAAATGACATTTACATTGCTAATCGGCTCGCGATCGTTGAACACTGAAAGCGCGCATCGAAGAAGGCGAGCGTAACGTTGATTATTCATTTACATATGAATGCTCTCGTCGTACGATGTAAACACGCGACTTGTACCACCGCGCATTTAGATTGGCAAAAAAGCGTGTCGTTAAAATTATCGATCGATGTCACTCCGGCGTATAAAGTTGCAAAGCAACTCTCTCGCGTACGCGTATCTGTCTATTCCCACCTATCTATTTATCTGTCTGTCTATCGGCGATCAGTCGAGGAAATAGCGATTTTCTGTCTCTCCGTTCCCGAGATAGATACGTTAGCTACCGGTCTTTGGAGTTCCTCCCCTTTCGGCGGCTTTCGCGCGATAAATCGCGCGATCGCCCTTTCCGAGTCCGTCGCTGCTCTCTCGGCTCGCTCGTCACGTTGCTTTTAATTACGCCCGCATCGGCACAGAAACGAGAAGGCGCCGCGGCGCGGAGAGAATGAGAAGAGAGGCGTAGAATTAATGCGTAGAATTCGTTAAAAATGATCTGTAAATTAGTGGAATTCCGCGCCGAGCCAAATGGCCGGCGATCGTGCTCGGGGAGCAAATTGCCTCGGATCCGTTTACACGTGTAATAACTGTCGCGATGGAAGAAATGTTGTCGCGAATGACATGAGCCTTGCGTAACGCGCGACACGAGTATAATAAAATGTCTCCATGAGTGTCTCACGTGCCTTCGAGAAAGAAACTCGCGGAGGTCGATTGTATCGAGCGGAAAAGCCATGTGTGCGGAGAGCCAAATTGCAGGGAACATATATTAGCCATTTTTACGTTACTCACTTTCATACAAAAAGTTGAAGTATCAAGAAAAAAATGGCAAGTTGTCGTTACATGTGTAAAAAGAACACCGAGGCTATGTCCGTCATTTTATGTCCGTGAAAACCGGGTAATTTTTCGTTTTCCACTTCGTTCCCTAACTTGACAAACACGACAAACGCCTTTCGCCTGTGACAATACCTGACAATAGTCTGTCAGTAATATCGTGCCATCGAAGTCGGTCGTGTGAATTAACGTGAAATCGCGAGTCTCCCAGCTTTCTCGGATCTCTCGCAAGTTCTCGCTCGCTCTTTTCCCCCGACGTCGCGTCTCCCGCAAAGGCGGTGCAATTACAACGTTCGCGAGCGGACCGCGTCACCAGAGTCGCGATAACGGTCGACAATCGTCGCGGTCGACGACGCAGCTAGACCATAGACGGCGACGGCGGAGCCTGTCCTCTCGGTGCCGGTTAATCGCGCCTTCAACTCGCGTCCGATGTATACAGGTCGGACAGACGCGACCGCGTATGCAATTAAGTGGCCGCAGGTAGACGAAGTAAGTCGTACGGCTTCGCCACGAATTGCACTCGCGGCCTTTTCGTGCGTATTATAACGAGAACCCGCCGAGAGCGCCGCCTCGCCGTCACCTCTCTGGCCGCTCTCGGGGCGCCAACTCGACTTGCTTGTCACGTCCCTTTTAATTGCACGCGCGCTCGGCATCGACAGATACGAAACGCGCACCGCCGCCAGGAAAACGGCAACGAGGATACCGCGGGATAGGTAGGTAGTATCAGGGAACGTGTATTAAAATTGCTCGCGCGCGAACGCACGTGCGTGCGGCTCGGTGGCGGCACAAAGTCGTCGTCGTCGTGGTCGTTGAGATAGAAATCCGCGCGCGCGCGCGAGAGAGAGAGAGAGAGAGAGAGAGAACTCGTTCGCGCGCGATATTTGATTTGTATTCATGACCAAAGGCGGACCTCTCGTCGTCTCTGATGTCATTCGATAATTATAGGAGCGTGACTAGCGGTGATGGTTTAATGATAAACTTTCGTCGCGCGAGAAACGTGTAATAGGTGGTTATTACGTTTTAATAAAGCGCGTTTCATGCCGATTTGTTGTGAGCAGCGACTTTTTCTCGCGGTTCTCGCGCCAGCCTCCGTTTCCTCGTAGCCGGTCCTTGTCGTTGTCGGCGATAAGCTAATCGCGGCAAAAATGCCCGATAACGACGGCTGGGGGGATGCGTGTCGACGTGTCTTTGTCGCGCGTGTCGTTGTTGTCGATTCATTATCTCCGGACTTTCGCCGGGAGTACTTGGCGTCGCGACGCGACGATGTTCGATACTGAGGCGTCTCGTGATTCAACGGGAGAAGAACCGTCGTCTCGCTCGTACCACACGAGCCTCGTTACATGCATTATCAGCTTTATCCGGACACTAAATCAGCGTCGCGATATTTATCGCCGATAATTATCATCCTCGTTAGAAGGCAGCGAGTTAATAGAATGATACGGAGGAAGAAGAGAGGACGCGCGTCGTTAAGTCGTTGTTAAGGCCATTGCTTCGTTGTAGCCGGCGGAGACGCGCTTCGGTCAATTCCCAGCGATTAGTCGCGCAAACTCGACGACAGCCGCGACCACGCGCAAATAATGAAAGCGCAACGCGCGCGAAATTGTCTCCCGAATTTTCGCGTCGTTCCGCGTCTCCCGACGGGGCGCATCTTCTCCGAGAGAGGCACGCGTCGTTTCAATGCACGCTCGACAATTTACCGCCGACGCGGTTTCCACGTTGGCCGAGTTGACGCGCGAACGCGGACGGTATAATCGGGCCGTGATGAGAGAAGTGTCGAAGTAAAAAACGCGATCGGCTGATCGAGGGCGCGTTTTCTCCACGGGATCGCGCGGAACGATCAAACGATCGCGCTCGATCGGGGATAGCCGGGGACGGATAAGCCGTGCAAATAGTCGCGAGATCGTACAGGACTCCGCGACTTGTCTTTTCCGTGAATCTGATCGCCCCCTCCCCCCCCCCCGTCCTTGTGCGCGCATCGGGATGCAGGAACGAGCCTGCGGCGGCGCGGGCGCGGGCGCGAGCGCGAGCGGAGCCGCTTGAGTTATGACTGCGACCATTACTCCGGACAAACGAGGCTAAGCGTGTCGACACGGAGCCGAGCGGAGCGGTGCCGAGCTGAGCAGAGCAAGGAGCCGGGCAGGCAGGTCTCCCCCCTCTCTCTCTCTCTCTCTCTCTCTCTCGATTCTCCCGAGTCATTCCCGACTGTCGAGAATTACGAGTGTGTGCTCTCTGGGTGTCTCTTTCTCGTTCTCTCGCGAGCCTTCCTTCCTTCCTTCATCCTCGTGCCTGCGCGCGCGCGGGGCTGCCGATTGACAGTTTTAAAGCCCGACTTAGTTGAGACTCGCCGTCGCGTCGGCTCTCTCGTTATCCAGGACGCGAATTCCGCATAGGCGCGCTTCACGTGTTTTCCTGCGCGGCTATAGGTAGCTGGGTACGTTCGCCGCGAGCGGAATAACGAACACCGTGTAACCCACATTCGCGAATTATTTATGTCGCGCGCTTTTTGCGTCGCACGTCACGACGTCGCGATGGCATTTTTCTGTAAAAAGAGATCGCTCGCGCGGATGACCGCCGGATGAAGCGCCGACGGGAAAGGAGGATTATGACGGCACGAGTCGAGGAGAGAACGCGTCGATTCTCTTTATCCCGCGCCGCGAGGACTCATCGCGTCGCAGGAGATTGCGCGGGAGGAGAACGCAGCAGCAGCAGCAGCAGCAGCAGCAGCAGCAGCAGCACCGGAGCTGGAAGCTGCGGAGATCCTGCTGAGTCGAAAATATCGAGGAGAAAACTGCGACTCTCCCGAGTGCTTCGTGAGGAAGAGAAAATTGTATCCCGCGCTGGTCACATATGGAGCTCCGCGATGCATCCTCGGGGGGAGGGGGGATCGCGTAAGCCCCCCCCGTTATTATCCAAAGACTACGTAAAATCTGATCCCGCGCGACGACGGATTGCGAAATCGCGCTGGAGAAATGAAAACGTGAAACCGCATACCCTCGTATTTACGCGTCATTGAGACGTGTCGATTTAATGCGTGTACATGCCAGCGATCGAGCACGGGACAAGCTTACACAATAAGCGTAATATAATGACTCCGTTCGGAAAAAAGCTCACGTTCCCCGGTGCCATTTCGTCATTAGTGTCTCGCCTAGCTCGAGTACGACTCGGTAATCGCCGTGGGTCGTTACTTACTTCGTCCTGAGAACAAAAAAGAAAAAACACACCGATTAAAACTCGTGTTCTGCCGTACAGCTCAATCATTAGATACATCTTACATCTGCGCATTCAAGTCGCTGCGCAACAGAACGCGTAACGTTCATTATTATTATTCATACACATTCGACACCATCGAACGCGACATTGTCGCGGGTTGTAGGTGTCGCGTTTCGTTAAGACTAAGAGAACTCGGAGATTTCGGGCAGGGATGGGCCAGGGTCGCCACCCAGGTTTCATCTCTCACGTCGTTAAATTAGCATAATTGTACTGTAAATATTTATCTTTGTTTCTCCAGGATGGATTATCTTTTTCTTACAATGGGTCTTTGCGTGTGCGGTCCTTGGTCGCGGTTGGCTAACTCTCTCTCTCTCTCTCTCTCTCTCTCTCTCATGAGGTCTTCGTTAAGGTGTTTCCGAGTTAATCTATAGAATCGCGCACGAAAAGTAGCCATTGGATCGGTAGCCATAGCCATAACCATAAATAATGACCACTGATTGGTCACTCGTCGATCGTTACTACTCGAGTGTGTACGTGACTGCGTTTACGTTTCCACGGGTCGTTAACTCGTTTCCATTAAGGCGCGGCCTTGCCTGTTTTCTCTCTCTCCTTCTCTCCTGTTTCCCTTATCTCCGGTTTCTTTCCCGCGATACTTTAGCATCGGTTACTCATTTGCCGATGTTAGACGCGCGATACTCGCGGCTTAATGTATTTTTACATGTCAAAGTGATTCTATTCGTAATCGTTTCAAGCACGATCGCTGCCTTTTGGATGGATTTCGACGAACATTAAGCGAACGCTAACTAGCTCTCGTTAGAGCACGATAAATGTGTTTTATGACATATTCAACGTGGCGATTTAGTCGTGCCACGACTTTCGCTCGATGTCGATTTCGACAGATTTACTTGCAGGGAAAGAGTATTCAAAAGTTGTCGTAAAAAAAAGCTACTTTTCAGCCGTAACGTCGAATGCGCGTGCTTCCTTTTGTCGCGAGCCGCGATTCTCCCCTTTACGCGCTGATCCTCTCTTGCGAGCGACTGCTGCTCGCGATAATAAGCGTCAAAAATTAAGACATTCGCGAGTAATGCGTAGCTCGAGGACACGATTAATGACTTCATTGCGTCGTCCTACGCCCTCGATGCGCGGAGGTACCGGTTCCGCCGACGAGCGGCCCGCCTCTTTCTTATCCTCCTCGTCGTTTATATTTGCTTTCGATATCTCCGTTCCTCTCTTGCTCTCTCTCTCTCTCTCTCTCTCTCTCTCTCTCTCTCTCTCTCTCTCTCTCTCTCTCTCCCTCCCTCTCTCTCCCTCCCTCCCTCCCTCTCTCTCTCTCTCTCTCTCTCTCTCTCTCTCTCTCCGACTACGTACGTCGTCTATTCTCTTGGCGGGACTTGGCTTGGCTTACGTACGAGTATATCGAGTTAACGCGAATCGGTCACGCAATCTTCGATACCACCACCGTGTCGCGGCACGCGCGGCGCGCGACCGCCTCTCGTCTCTTTAATCGGTTGAATTATTATTTAGAATTTCGGAGCAAGAGCGAAATACGTATACACATAGATTGAACTTTTCTGGCTCGCGATTTCTGAGTCGCTCGCGACAGACGCGAAAGCAGTGCAGCGCACCTTTATGCAGTGCGCCTTGCTCTATCAACCTTTATATATAAATTTAACTCAGAAGGGACGTAGTACGAAAGAAATTGCTTCGCACGAGCGCACAAATGAGTGCTCTCGTGTTTAGCACTCTCGGTCCACTCGGTTGGCGAAAGGATCGAGGCTAGAAATAATGTCACGACAGCGACTCGCAGACACGCCGCGCGGCGTCCTGTAAATATTGCAATCCTGTCCTCGCGTCGCGAGGAGCGAGCACGCGCTGCTCTCCGCGAACTTCGGGTCGTGAACAACCGAAAGGCTTAGAAAGCACATCGATCCGCCGCGCTAGATCCGCGCGAGCGAGACGGAGCAGGGAACTGTAATCTCTCAACGTCCCTCGCCATTTAGTTTTCACGTAACCCCGAGATGTTATCTCGGGTAGGAAAGTCACTTCGCTCGGAGCGGATCATTGCGCGCCATTGCGCAGTCATGACCGCTATACATAGATCGCAGCGTGAGATATCGTGTCTCATACGTTGTAGGCGTGACCGTTGCTCTATAAGATCTTTATCGCGGTTCGTCATTATTATTATGTTATGTTACGTATCGCGATTACATCGATCTGCCCCTCATCGGCTGCGATATACATCGGGCTCGCGCGCGTTTTAGAAGAAACTCCGCGAGATAGAATTGAAGCGCCGCGCTGTCGTTCGTACATTGTTTCCCGCCGCGCCGCGTCACGCCGCGTCGCGGAAGCGGCCGCGTTCGTTATTAATTATCATGTTGCGCCGCGAGCCGCGAGTTATCGCGCGCGCGCCATCGATTGTCACGACGATCGACCTGTATCTATCTCGTTCCTCGATGCAAATACGAGGCGAAACTCGCACGGTCTCGGTGGTAAGAGGACTTCCGCGTATTCGGATATCTCTGATTGTCCGGATAGCCGAGATCGAAAGACGTGGATAATCCGGACTTTTCGACTCGAGTTTAGAGCATAATTTGGACCGGAGGAGAATAGAAAATATTTTATCATTTTAATAATCTAATTATTATTCGGAATTATTATTCAAATACATGAATAAACACAAGCGTTGTCATGCAATTAAGAAATATTGATTGTCAAATTTCTGAGAGAGGGGTTCTAGATTGTTGAAAACATGTTGCCTGGCCGATTTTGCTAGTTCGGATTTGATGCTTCAGTTGTTCCCCGGATTTGTAACCGGACTTGAAACGTCACATTTATTATCGCTAGCAAAATAGCGTCAGATCCGGCTTGCTTCAGAACGACGAATTTCTCATAGACATTTCTCATTTCCTACGGCGTGTCTCGTGCCGCTGACGCGAGTGTTTTCTCCGTCGAGAGATAATAATAATACCGAGGAAATTGACGAGCGCGATCTCGCGAAAGAAGGTAGGGTCGTGTGGATTCTCATTAGACGCGACACGCGAGCGTATTTATCCCGACACGCATGAATTGCTCGCCCGAGATCACCGTGTATGATTATCGATTTGCCGGTCATCAAGTCAATCGAGGAAAATTATTAACGTTTTCATCAGAGCCGCAGAGAAGGGTCGCGGTTTTTTCGTGCCGGCAGGTCACGTCGATCTCGACGTTACTCGACGAAGGTATTCCGCCAACGTGACGACGATTAATTTAATTAGAAGCGAAATTCACAGCGCTCCTCATCGGTTTGCGATTGCCGGTACGCGGCTCGGGTTGCACGTCGGACGCTCGCGAATTAGATATGATTAATCAAGCAATTGGAAGCACCGGTTTTGTGTGTGTGTATGTGTGTGTGTGTGTGAGTGAAAGAGAGAGCGAGCGCGTATTTTGAGCGCCATTATCGATTGTGGCAATTACTGCTCTCCCGTAAACGGTGTACATAATCGTTCGCTTCTCGCCGCTATTCGAGCACCGTCTTTCCCACGATAGAGTAAACGTTTTCGAGCGCGGCGTTTCGCGCGCAAATCGCTCGCACGCTCGTTTCTCGCGCGCGAGTGTCGTGTGCGTATGCGTGTGTGTGTGTGTGTGTGTGTGTGTGTATGCATAAACCGCGCGTAGAATCGCGCGTACCGCGGTTTAAACTAACGAGTGGTTACAGCTCCCGCTGTCAAGTCCGAAGACACACATCTAGTAATTGGATGCAGCGCTAACGCGCGATCACCCACGAACACGTGAGGCGCCCCGCGGCTCTCTCAGAAGCCGAACGCATTTTCGCGAGCGCGCGCACACGTCAGGTGCTTGTGACATCGCGAGTTTCAGCAGAGCGTTATCCACCTTCGCATCTTAATTATTCTTCTTTAGGACTGCTGCTGCTGCTGCTGCTGCTCGAGCTATTTCGATTTTTCCAACCGTTTCTAATTCGCGAGAGAATTTGTTAATTTATTACGGCGCAAAATGTCTGTATTTCGCTTCGACACGCGATCGATTGAATCGTAAGGTACCTTAACCTTACTTCACGTAGATGTGAAACTTTTTTTTCTTTTCGGGGGAAAGCGCAGAGACGAGCGTCGAGACGCGCTATCGCGTTAACACGCGATGCGCCGCGGCGTATTCCCTACCGTGTTATTTTGTCCGCGTCCGCGTGTGTGCTTCGTTCCACCTTACTCATTTTCAAATACACGACATTATCTCGCCTCGTTGCGAGCGAGTACGTGTGTTGTAAGTTGCGCGCTATGATCACTCGCGCGCGCTACCATGAATTACGTATATTCCCTCCCTGGTGATTTAGTCGCACGTGCGTTTGACATTTAACACAACAGAGATTCATTCCGCGGTGGATAATTTGGACGATTGATTCACGGTAGCTAATTCGCGGTGTTGGAAGACACGAAGATATCAAGAACACCTGTCAACCAACCGACAGTTACTCGCAATTGTCACGTATGCTCGTAATGAGCAGGTATTGACATTATTGCGAATTGTAAGGAGCCGCATTCGGAGGCTCGGTTGAATCAACGATCTCGCCGGGCTCTCTCTCTCTCTCTCTCTCTCTCCTCTCTCTCTCTCTCTCTCTCGCGCTCTCTCGAACGAAACTCGAATCGTCGTAATGGTTTCTTTCCTCGCCAACGAAAACGCGAACGCGATTTAACGCCGCGCTATGACTCGCGCATTCGGATGGTCTCTCTCGAATGCTTTCTCGACGGATACTTTAATAGACACCTTTAGCCGCTCCTCTCCGTCGCGAAACTACTTCCTGGTTCGTGGATTTAGCAGTTTGATTAGATCTCACGGGCGTGTTTCACTTTCCCCGCTGGTCGGAGTTATGTTTATCTGATCCCCCCCGGTCGAGTCAATACAACGAGAATGCGGCGCAATTAGTATCTCATTAGACAGCGCGACTGTTCTAATTCCTCAGTTTCGCATTAGAAACGTCACTCAGCCGGCGGAAC